TGTACATCAGAAAATGCGCCTTGAGGCATGGAACATATGTACCAAATATGCCAAAGATGTCTACAAAATTATCTCAGTTATTATTAAAAAACTGATTATTTTTGAAAACTTTGCCACCCTGTATCTCAAAAGTTAAGGCGTTTAGGATATACGTCCATAGGAAGTTTTTTTCTTAAAATGGGTCTAAGAATTACCTCCTTAAATATTAGCATGTGTTTAAGGAACATCCTGTATTTGAATTTTTTGGTTGCGCTAAATGTATTCGACCAATTACGAATGTTGAAGACCCCACTTCAATTTATGGTGAAACTAGTGTACACGCTCGATTTTTTGAAAAATAAGTACTCACTGTTATAATAAAAACGTCCACGTAATTCCAGAATCTCGCAAGATACTTCAGCCTAAAGTATAATATCTCACGGATCTCTTCGAATATGTAGAAGACTATGAACAAATAACAAGCGCATTCGCAAGCCATTACGAACCAATCGTAGTTCGAGCGGATCCTCAAGAGGCCAAAACTTCGGAAATCGGCAGTGGTCATAATACCCCCTGTTGTCGGGAATTCAAAAGCCATTTTGCAGACGGCGAAAAGATTCAGGTTCGCGTTGTAAAGGGCGAAATCGATGAAAATGGCTCTCGTCCCTCCTCGAATCCACAAGTTGTCTTTCAGTTCTGTGAATAGTTCCGCTGTTTTGTTTCTGGTCATGGCAAAGTCCGCGTAGTAGCCGCCTCCACCGTAAGTCGTAATTTTGCCCCAGTATGAAAGACTTTTGGTTTCTTTTTGGGGGCTGTAGACCCAACTGAAAATTTTATAAATGGTGGGTCAATGAAAATGTGGAGATCAAGTTTTTCAAGCATATTTCCCACGTAGATTCCTTTCTCAGGATGTAAGCCAACTCTCAAATTTCGAATATGACATGGTAGTCAAGTGATTCACCGACTGACTGACTCACTACTGACTGATTCACGGACTGACTGACCCACTTCAGACTGACTTAGTAACTGACTCACTGAATGACTCTGTGATTGACTCACTCACTAACACATCGACTGACTGACTCAGTGAATAGACGACTGACTGGATCAATATTGACTGACTGACTGACTGACTAGCACACCGTTTAACTCACTGACTGACTCATTAACTGACCGACTACTGACTGATTCACTGACTGAGTGACTTATTGACTGACTGACTCACTTCTGACCGACTCAGTAACCGACTCACTCGCTAACACATCGACTGACTGACCCACTGACTAGACGACTGACTCGATCATTATTGGCTTACTCACTGACTGACTAACCGACTGACTAACACACTGTTTGACTCACTGATTGACTCACCGTTCGATCGGCCAACTGACTGACTCCCTGAATGATTCAACGACTGAATGTCGCAATGATTGACTGTCTCACTGACGGACAGACCAACTGATTCACTGACTGACCGACTTACTACTGGCAAACTGACTTAGTGACTCACTGTTTCACTGAGGGAATCATCGATGAACTTACTCACCGACTGACGTATACACTGACTGAATGACTTACTGGCTCACTGACTGACCGACAATCTGACTCACCAATTGACTGACTCACCGACTGACTGACTCATAACTGACTGACTCATAACTGACTGACTCATAACTGACTGACTCGCTGACTGACTGACTCATCGACTTACTGATTCACCGACTGAATGATTATCCGACGGAATGTCTCAATGATTGACTGTCTGACTGACGGACAGACCAACTAACTACTGACTCAGTGACTCACTGACTGACTCACAGACTGTTTCACTAAGTGATTCTTCAATTGACTTACTCACCGACTGACTTACACACCGACTGAATGACTCACTGACTGGCTCGCTGACTGACCGACGATCTGACTCGTCAACTGACAGACTCATCAACTGACTGACTCACAACTGACTGACTCGCTGACTGGCTCACTGATTGACCGACATAGTGAATCAACAACTGACTGATTCACTGACAGACAGACTTACTGAATGACTCACAGACTGTTTCATCGACTGAATCATGGACTTACTGACTGAATCACCGACTAACTCACTCATCGACTGACTGATTCACCTCCTAAATGACTCATCCGATTGAATGACCTACTCACTGAGTGACTGGCTGAATGACTTACTAATGGACGAACGGACAGACTGACTGTCCGTTCGTCATGGCGATGCATGTGCATGGCGATCCGTCGCCACGACATGCGCCGCCTCACCATCAATCGGTTTTACGTGCGGCTATACATGTCTCACATGAAAAATATGTATTCTGAAATAATATTGAACTCACGCTGTCTTCTTTCCTAGTCCAAAAGTTTCTTTGTCCACTGCATCATCTGAGTACATATCGTAGCAGTTCAAAAATAGTCGACGAAAATATTCATGTACAACACACGAATCATTTCGAACTCTAACCTTGAATTAGGAAAAACTATGTTCATATCGAAAAGTACAAATCTCATTTTGAAAGAAACGAAAATTGGGTTTGAGATCTTTAGCACTGTCTTTTTTCTCAACGTTTAACGGCGTTTAACGGTGTTGGAATAGAAACCCAGTAATATTCTTATACTAAAAGATGTGAGTACTTCTGAAGATGCCAAACACTCGTGGAGGTGAAACGTTGAGAAATACTTGAACGCACAAAGATCAATAATAATAATACGAGTAGAATTTGTTACGATTTTTTGCCGTAACCACAAAGAGACATTCACTTGTCTTATCCTTGGAACACCCAAAACTCTGTTTTCCTGTAATATGTGCATAGCGTTCTCGTCAGCTTGTTCTGTACTGTAAGTAGCTTCCCAGTAAAAACTATCCATCATGTGTCCTTCTGCGTACTGAAAATAAATAAACGCATTTTGAAAAGCTATTGGATGACTATTGATTTCACTCACAATCCAAAAATCTGCGGCTGTGGTTATTTCCAGGAAAGTTATCTCGGCATCATTCACGGTGTCGAATTGACGTTCTACAAACTGTTGTGTTAATCCCTTGGTCAAGTAGAAGGCTTTCCTATGGTGGATTCCAGTCACATCTATACAAATGTCAAAGCAGAATTTGGTATTAACGCCAACTAACAATACTGGGATTACGTGCAAGTAGCCCAAATTACAATTATAATCACTTGATATGTTTTAAAAAAGGTATCCTGATTGCTTGACAATGGGCTTGTTTCATGCTATTGAAAATGATACTGGTTTACTTATAGACTGATCGAGTTAGGAGTATATTATACTTATCAAGTCTAATTTGTTCCAATACCTCTTTATATTTGCAATACATTTTATTTCATGTGGAGAATTTTTTCATGAATTTAAACGTTAACGGGTTCATATACACTTCCATTATTAATATTTCTGTGATATCAACATGAAAATGTCTACTGCCGGAGATGTTTCAAAAATAACGTTTTTAACGCGTTTTGTGTTATTTGGATACCATGTATAATTAATTCTCACTTCCAATGCATTTCTTACACTTTCCAAAGTAGTATTGAATCAAGCACATTCGGAGTACTGATAAACACGTTGATATAATTATGAATCAACAACAATTATTGAGTTCTCATAAAAACTGAGTGTAACTTTGACTCGCTTGTACATTTTCATTTACCTTAGCGCCAAAAAATATTATCATTATCATTATCCAACAGACTGGTTATTTTAATAAACATTTTTTGCCAACTTAATCACTGCTAGGAGGTACTTCTGAGGAAATTTCAAATGTTTCAAACGAATTGACTAACTTACATATCGTCATCAATATCACAAAAATTGAATAAACGAAGAATTCATTGAACGTGGTTCTCAAAACTTCCTCTCTTCCTTCCTCTTCAGCCATATCTCTAGTGATCCATCTGGCTGGAAAGAAAATAAACATCGAATCAATTTTTCATCCCGCAGACGAAAATATAATCTTTTCTTTGATTTTGGTGCATATCTTGCATTTATATATGGAAACATACGTCTCTTTTTCTTCTTGGGCGGATCACCCTCGGAGACCAAAACATTTTTCTCACTGTGTTTTGCTTCGTTTTCTTGATTCTTTCTGTCTTTAATACTAGTGTTAGTCTCAGTTCTTTCCATTCTCTTCGAATTGAAAAATGACAGTACTTTGATAAACTATGAAAGTTATCAGTCAACTGCAACTAGATAGTTTTTTTGTTTTTATTTTTTGATATTTTGCCGAGATCTTTACAAATTCGTTTTACCAACTCTTCATATAAAACTTCACAAAAGTAAAATTGGTTTCTTCGTAAGGGTCTTTGTGCTAATCTATATAGTAAGTACCGCTGATGTTGCAAAAATAAACGTTTGTCACTTAACCCTTTCAAAAATTTGTCAATTGACTTCTCAAATGATTATTCTTGCAAACAATTATTATTAATTGAATATATGAGCTATCTCTTTCTGTCATAGTTTCACATCAGCTTGTGACCTGGAATAATGGTCTTTGGAGGAGTTCACCCATTGAAGTTTATTTACAATAGATAAGTATACACATGTTGATAATTGGTGGAAGAATCGAAATCTGCCGCTCTTTCGTTCAGATCTGAACAAAAATCTTTCAGTCATATAATATTGAAGTAGGTACCTAGGTACCAAAGTACTAACTTCCAACTTGACATTATCAAGCAGTGTCACTTGAGGTCCTCTCGAACCTCTGTGAGTGGAAGGCTGAAATTCATAGGATCTCTTCATTATTTCTTTATTGAGAGTTCCGTTTGCAAAATGCTACAAGTGATCATAACAGGAATAATTCAATGAATCTGGGTCCGTTAGAGTGTCAATAGTCATTTAATATGCTCAAACCAGCGTTGCCACGCCTACGATATTACTTTTTTTATAAGAAATATCATTATCGAACCAGTATAGACCAAGTTTGAAATGTCTATTTCTTTTCTAAAATTTTCAGAACTTGTTTAGATATCTAGATTGAAACAAACCTAAGTTAAAATAAACACTCAGAATAATAAAAGCTTATATTTTGATGTTATACAACTGAGTCACACATTTTGTTTGTTATGGAAGTTACGTTTTGGGTTTTTATTTCTCCATATTCATACAAAAACATTCAATTAATTTCATGATGAACTCTTTGAAAACACGTGTAGATCATGCCTGGATAACACTGTTATATTTCCAATAATTCACAACCCTTTCTCTAAATTCACTGCGTCCATTATTGTTGAAAACTATATGAAAATCCCATCAACAGTTTTTGAGTTTATTGTGTCCATACAAAAAGACAGATAGAACAAGGATACTTACTATAGTGAGACTAGAAATGTGAGCCTTCCTACTGAGAGGGATCAAAAAAGAATATATAAGTTTCTATCATATACATTTATATCAGAATGATTTGGCAATGCTGCCTGTGCCTAGTCCAGAATGTTGTCAAATGTCAAAGTGACATCCTATGACAACAATGATATTATCTGACGTGCACGTATAATTAGGAAATAAGTGTTTAATTTATGATAATTATGGTTTATTTTCATGTTTGTTGTTAGTAAATAATTCTTATTCCACGTTTTATCATGTGGAAATGTCACAAGTGTCACAAACCGGTGTATTTCGGTGAGTTTTCATCCACATTTTCTTTGTTTAAACAGATATTTGACTGGTTCATACATCAAATTGGGTATCTTTTACCTGAAGGAATTGCGGCACTCTAAAGTAAAAATGTGGTGCACGAACCTACAATTTACATTGTACAATTTCTTGAGGAAACATCAAAAGACAAAGTACTTATTTAGTGTATGAACCTGCCATTACTTGACAATCCCTTTCCTAGCTGAAAGAAAACAATCCTTGGGTTACAACTGGCACCCCGAATGCCTGAGGTGCGAGGAGTGCGGAAAGAGATTGAACCCCGGACAGCATGCCGAACATAAAGGTGTCCCGTACTGTCATGTGCCTTGCTACGGGGCCTTATTTGGCCCCCAACTATTCGGACATGGGACACGCGTTGAATCTCACAAGAGCTTTGGGGCACAGAAAGAGTTCCCGAAGTTGAATAATGGTGCCGTTTTGCCTAGGTCTCACTTGGAATCGAAAATAAAGGTAATCATTGAAAGTATCGATAAATTCATTGAGTAATAGTGTGGTAGTTTTACATTGATACACATTTCTGCTTAGAGTTATTGTTTATATTGTTCTCTCTTTATGTCTCTCTTTATGTCGTTTCTTTATATTGAGAATTCTGGAGTTTATTTTTACTTGGAAAAAACCTGACTATGTACCTGAGCAGATAGTTCTTACTAGTGGTTACGTGGGGTATATAAAAGTTAAAGCGAAAAATTAGGTTTCAGTACCTATGTAATTAACTACGGAAAAGCTGCTGTGTTAGAGAAACATGTCGTGATGTTTTTGTAAATCAAGTTTGTGAAGATCAAATCGTTTGCGGTGTAGTTTGTGAAGTTACTATGAATCTTCATAAAGTAACGGCCAAGGAAAGGTCATTCCTATCTCAATAAGATATCAATCTGTGACCTTCGATATACAAACACAAATGGTAATTGTGATAATTATAAAACTATGATTTTTTTGTCTCACTTGTCATGTTTCAAACTGCCGGGCATATGAAGAGTATCTAATATTGCTACTATTTGCTTCTCAATTAGTCATGATCTTGCAACAGTATTTATAGAATGACCTTGGTAGGTTCCCTCTAACAGGTCATTCACCTCTCCAGTCAAACTATGTCCTCCTTTTGAAAACTCTGCTTCATTCTCCTTTATGATATAGTCAATAAGTGTTTGAGGTTGGATATGTTTTCAAATAAAGAAGAACAAAGAGGCTTTGAATGGAGGTGACTGTCTATTTATAGCACTTGTAAATACAGTAGACTCATTATCCATACTTGATGTCTGGAAATGATTTTGTGAGCATTCCACATACATAAAATATTCAGTGTTGGTTGAATACAGGGTGGCTCTATACAGGGGGCGGTCTGAAAGTTTCTGACCTAAGAAATATTCAAGACTTTTTTCAGATTGTTTTTTATTTTTCAACATAGTCTTCTATTGTATTGTAGCGTAACTCTACACACTTTTCTCAGCGATACTCCCATCTCTTTAACCCGTCCAAATCGTAATCGGCGTTTTTCTCTGTAAAATAATTGTTCGCGAAAGTTTTTGCTTCTTCATCTGACGAAAATCTCTGTCCTCCGAGAGCAATTTTAAGATGAGGGAACAAAAAGAAGTCGCTTGGGGCTAGATCTGGCGAGTGAGGTGATTGGTCAAGCAGTTCAAACCGTAATTCGTGGATTTTCCCCATGAAAATCGCTGAGATGAAATGTGGCCGTTTTTCCGCAAGTTCTGCCTTCAGCTTGTTAAGTAATGGTTTTTCCATTTTGAAGAGAATCAATTAAAATAACTCCATGACTATCCCAAAAACAGTCGCCATCACATTCCCAGCCGAAAAAACAGTTTTTCCTCTTTTAGACGCGGTATTTTCGTTACAGTCCACTGTTGGGACTGTATTTTGATTTCGGGCGTTTTAATGGTGAAGCCAAGTTTCATCTACAGTAATCAATCGGCCCCAACACTTGGATTTATTAGCTAACATTGAATGTAGTGGATGCCTGTCTACTTGATGTATGTGGGTTTTCCTCAAACTCGAGCATCACATCTAATTTGAGTTCATCACTCATTGCATTGATAACTGCTTTTTTTATCAGCTTATTCTGAGATATGGACGCTAAGTCAAGAAATTTCTCATGAAATAGGGGAGTTACTTCCTGTTGTGTTCGGGTTTTATCTCCGTAACTAATCATTTGTAAAACTGTTATTTTATGCATTTCCGGTAATCTAACCATTTGTCAGACTTGAAGTTAACGAACTATAAACATAAATTAAAATACTAGTTTACAAGGCGTTTTAAACTAACGTTGCCACGGAAATTATTTACAGTTTTTTAAAGGATACCATATAAAAAAACATTGCTATGGTTTTTGCTTACTTTCTTATTATCAGTACCTAAACATGAAATAAGTTTTGAGTGAGTTTAAAAAATTTGGATTGTACCTGTCATTCGACGCAGGTTGAAGATAAGGCATTTTTCCATTTAAGTATGTCAAAATGGAAGGTTCGAAATAGATGAATATTTCAATATAGCAGACCACTATTATAATATTCATGCAGTCATTGTTCACTGTGGTTCTGGCGTTGAATTTGGTCATTATTATGCCTTGATCAAAGACAAAACGGACTGGTTTAAGTTTGACGATAGTCGTGTGATGCATTGAATTTATTGGAGCCTCTGGAGACACCCTACATTTTGTTTTATGAGAGAGAGAGAGAGGACATTGGCAGATCAAGATCTTCAGATTATGTGGTGCTGCGGGTTTTTCCGGGTTTTCCTGCAGCGCCAATAAATTTTTATTGTTGTTTTCATTTTTATCGTTGTTTTATAATTTTAATAATCCAAAAATAGGTAGATTTTCAATAAAAATTAGGCACAATATCATATTACTTCGACAAAACAGGTAAAATACAGGCATTTTATGTCAAATCTCAAATAAGTGAATAATTCTGGCATATAGATTCAGAAAGCACACATTTGACTAATAACAATAAATTTTCATAATTATTTTCAGGTATATAATCAGTTTTACGAAGGCAAAAGCGGAGAGATCCGTTGCAGAGAAGTTAACGGAAGATTTATACTTGAAGGCTCTCTACGAATCCACTGGGGTGTACACGGAGTGATCCATTTGAAAGAGAACGACGATCAGAGAACCGTCGTAACCGTAAGAAAGAGAAACTCTTATCGTTCATCCAGTCCGGAGTATGACACGGACGAAGACGTACAGAACATATCTCGCGATACAAGGTAGGTGGTATTGATGTTCATTGAATTTTATCTGTAACATGGTGTCATGTGTTTGTCTCTTGTTGGATATTCAAAAAGTATTGCAAGATAAATTGTAATGGAGCATAATATATTTGCATTTATCAGATAAATGTCAATTGACTTGCTGAAAATTGAAAATGTGGTACATTAAATCGAAACACATAAATAATTTCATGTAATGTACCTCAAGGATGCAGCCTTGGGCCTACTCTATTTCTCATTTACATAAATTTGTTGGAAAACCGAATTTTAATGAGTAATTGAAATTATTTGCTTATTACTTTTCAAAAATTAAAAATGTCAACCTACATGTCATTTCATCTTACTTGAGTTGACTTTGAATTTCGAAAAATCCAGTTCAATGTATATATTGTATATACTGTGAAAATAACTTCTAACGAACTAGGACTAATTGCAGCTAAAACTGTCTATTATTCATTAGTAGAGTCACATCTAAGATATGGGATCCCTTTCTGGGGGTAAGTAATCAAACTCGACTCGATTCGATTTTTATTCTGCAGAAAAGGTCATTAAGATTTCTCTGTAGACCCAGGCTGCGAGATTCTTGTAGGCCTTTAATACCGATAGCATGCGTGTACTCTTCCACCATCCTCAAGGACTGATGGAGATCCTTCTCTCCAGAGGCATAAAGTTTAAGATCACCCATATAAAACAGATGGGTGACCTTGTGCCTCCGGTTTCCGGGGGTGCCACAGTTATACCCTCGAGTATTTTTGAGCGCAACAGATAATGGCAATAGTGAGATGCAGAAGAGAAGGGGACTTAGGGAATCACCCTGAAATACACCCCTTCTGAAAGTGACCCACCCTGTTTGAATTCTTGCTTGACCAGATGTTATAGTGAAGCGAGTTCGCCAAAGTGGTATCAGTTGTTCAGTGTATCTCACTATGTTGTCGGGTACCGCAAGGCATCTCAGCAAATGCAAGATGAGCTCATGCGAAATTGTATCAAATGCCTTACGGTGATCGATCGAGGCCATAGAGAGGTTACGCTTATATTCTATCGATGAGCAGGTTCTCTTTACATCCAGCGACTCCTCTCTTCGACCCTCTCTGCTCATATATCCGTTCGAACACTCGGTAAACTGCGGTGAGTATTCGTGTGTATAAGATGCTTGTAAACAACTTATAACATGAATTCAAGCATGTTATCAGTCTGTAATTTTTAGGAATCAACAAATCTCCGCTTTTAGGGATAAGAACGGTCCGCCCATTATAATTATTATTATTCAAGAGACCTGATGTCACAACTGCACTTTTCCCTGACAGTAGTTGTAGTATTACATACCACTAATTATTGGACTTTCATATGAGCTCAGAACTTGCTTATTGAAATATCTAAAAATTACTTATATTGATTTTATTCATTCAGAAGTTCAATATTTCATTTTTGTTTGCCGCCAGATGGACTTTGAAACCATTGAACCCGTTGAAAACATTGAAATTTGATATACGGGGTCTGTTCAAAAAATAAGTTGGAAGTTCAAATTTTGCAAGCTGGGTACATTCGATTAGTGGTTGTTTTATTGAATTTCGGGTATGATTTATCTTGCACTTCAACCTTCTTTCATCTCCCCACTAGTTGCAACGACATATCCTCGTATTCGGACGACATCACTACGGAAACGAAGTCCGACACCGGCATCGAAAGCGGGACAGAATCTGTCGAGTCCAGCATAACGGAGAGCTCCTCTCTATCTCCGCAGAATATCGTTCCGAAAAGCGTCACTTTACCGTCCAAATTGGATATCAAAAACATGGAGTGGGACGAACTGGACGAGTTGTTGCAGGTAGAGAGAAAAATCGATGTGTCTGAGAGTATATATCAGACTATGCCGGTTACGTTGCCTTCGCAGGTTAGTGTCGAAAGCGCCAGCGGATCCAGCCAGAGCAATAGTAGCAGTACCAAGACTGAAAGGTAGGAATCACTTGTTTCAAGACAACATTGATTTATTCATTCGGTTGATTCCCGGGTTCGTTTACAACTGTTTTGACAGCAATTTTTCACTCATCATACCAAAGTCATTATGAAATTTTAAAGTAACGTCAGTTTGGCCCCTAAAAGTTATGCTTTCTAGGTTAGGTTAACCTAACCTATCCTAACCTAACGATTGTAAAGGATTCCTTAATATACAATGGAATAAAGATGTAGAATAGAATAAAACTCCCATGCACCTGAAGAGCCATTCTTTGACTATTTTAAGGAAAGAAATAAGCAACATTCTAATTGATAAAGCCTATTATGACTTGGATCTATTTCACAATGACCACTCATTCTATGAATTATAGGATTTACTTATAGTATCTTCCTATGATATCTAATATATATAAATTGCATGTCACGTTGTTCGTCCGCGATGGACTCCTAAACTACTTAACCGATTTTAATCAAATTTGCACACCGCATGCAGTTTAATCCAACTTGAAAGATAGGATAGCTTACATCTTAATTTATAGTCAACAATATTATTTTATTGCAAATTATTCCACATTCACAATTATCTGTTAACTCCAAATGATTTTAACAGATGGCGATATCTGTTGATTGGATTCAGTAAGTAATCAATAGATGGCGCTGCTATGTTAAACCTACAAACGTGCCATACAAACTACAATTCAATAGCATAACCACCACGTGTTGTTGAGGCTAAAGTCTAAGCTAAATTTAATTCGTAGTAAACGAAATACCGTGAAATTCAATTGTTTTTACAACGGTAAAATAGAACTGCAACCAAATACGCAATGCATTAAATTGCCAGACAATTTCTGCACTGTTCTTCAGGAAAAGAATGAATTGATTCGGAGTATTTTTCCGGGTATACAGAATAAATACTTGAATCATAACTGGATCAGTCATCTGACGATTTTGGCAGCTGAAAATGTTGATGTTGACGAAATTATACTGTTGTTGATGAAAATGTAAGTGTAAATTTTCCAATTGAATTTTTAAATTAAGTAGATATACCTGGAATGCCACCACGTAATCTTTGATTAAAGATTGGTTCCCCTATAATTCTACGTAATTTGAATCCACCTCAGTTATGCAACGGTACGCGTTTGGTCGTCAAAAAGATCATCGGAAATATTCTTGAAGCAACCATTTTAACTGGGAAGTTTAAAGGAAAAGTGGCCCTGTTGCCACGTATTCCAATGATACCGTCAGATTCTACCATACCCTTCAGAAGGCTACAGTTTCCAATTCGTTTAGCTTTTGCCATGTCTATAAATAAGTCTCGAGGCCAAACAATGTCCATTTGTGGTTTAGATTTGGAAAATCCATGTTTTTCTAATGGGAAACTCTATGTTGCATGTTCGCATGTAGGGAAAACTGCAGTGATTCAAATGACACTTATTTTGATTGATAGAATGATTATCAACTGAGTATGAACTGAGATTCATAAAATATTTTCCATGAATATCTACAAGCCGTTACTTTTCCAGCATATCCGAGCCGACAAAAAACATCACAACGACTGACGACTCTAGTCAAACCTTAAGGGCTTCCATCGCTAATGGCATCAGCGAAGACAAGCTTCCGTTACTGTCTTCCTCAACGAGCAAAGACGACGACTGGACGTTGCAGAGCAATCACCTGAACAGGTCGATGTCTGGCCCTGATTGCTTGGGCCGTCTGAGAGATCCTCATTCTCCCGAGTTTGATAGGATAAGCGTGACAAGTAACGACGTGTCCTCTATATCGGAGCAGCCTGAGGACGAAGTTGTGTTGCGGAGGCCTAACAAAGGTTTGTGAGTAGGGAAAGTTGAAATGCAAAATATGTATTATTTATCCAAATTCACTCTACCGTCAATCCAACCACCAAAACGTTTTTTGAACGCATTTTTTTCTTGGTTCGACTGCAGTACTCGCGAATTATGTTTAATGTAATCTATCCACTGAAAACAGTTGCTATAGGAGTTTGGGAAAATCGACCGGAGCGATATCAGGTGAGTAGGGGGGCTGTTAGATGAGGTTTGTTGAGTTTTTGGCCAGTAAGTCATTCACAAAGATAACCTTATGAGATGGTGCGTTGTAGTGGTGCAAAATTCATGAGTTTCTTCCCACATTACTGGCCTTTCTCGCTGAGTTTGCTTCCTTGAACCCGCATAACGCTCAGATACTCTTTATTTACTGTCTCACCTTCTGATAAGAATTCTGAGTACACAAAACCGCGGTCATCGAAAAAAACTGCTAACACCACCTTCACCTTTGATCGACTTTGACTAGCTTTTTTCGGTTCCTTCCGAAGCTTGTTGACTGATTTGCATATGTGGGTTGACTGGTTTATGAATGTGGGGTCGGAGTTGCTGGAGCGGCATGCATGAAAAATCGTTCAAAATGGTGAGAACTAAGAGCTTTCAGTTGCTATCTCTGTGAGACTTAAACGACGATTTTTGGTCAACATTTTCTTTGCTTTAGCGATATTAGGTTTGCTTGAGGATAGTGATGGCAGGCCCAGAGCGAGGCAAATCTTCCACAACGTCTCGACCGCTTTTAAATGCACCGTACCACTCATACGCACATTTTTTGATAAAGTCGAATCACCGAAAGTTTCGTGCAACATTTCCAGGGCTTCGGCACACGAAATTCTATTTGCAGTGTAAAATTTAAGACAATTTCCTTGCTCGGTATTTTTATCCATTGTAAAAATCGCAAAACGCGTTTCAGGTTAACTATCGAATTGATTACTGTAAATAAAATAAATGACAGATGACGCTAAAATTCCGCGTGACTATAGAGGACAGTTGTGCCAATTTAGCCAAGTATATGCCGATTTTGAACCAATTCTGAAGCCTAAACTTGCAAATGAACCGGATCCCACGCCTTCCTTCACAAATAAATCATTTATTCACGAGCTTTACTCATTCCCATACCATGGCGCTCAAATTCCGCGTAGCTATAAAGGGCAGTTCTACCAATTTAGCTACAAAAAAATTCGCGGACTATTTTGATTTGAAATTTAAAAATTTTGGAAGGCAGTTGAAAGTTTCCTTCGTGGTATATGCCGATTTTGAATCAATTCTGAAGCCTAAGTATGCTGCCAAAGCATTTGTAGCCAGACTGGAGTCTGACCTGAGCTCTATCTTCTATACATATTTGAAAAGGAAAAGACTAGGTCCAATTCCACAGGAATATTTTACCAAATCTATGTCAGATTCCTATGATACCGATGACATTTTGTAAAAATTGAATTCAGTCATTCTTTGCATCTTCAAAGGCTGTTCAATCTAAGTGGCTTATCATTTTATCATAAAGGTTCCACTGCAATTAAGAGGAGGTCCGGCAAGAGGTTGTCGCGCAGCAAAGTCAAAAGGAGGTGCTCCATCAACGGTCATTTCTACGACAGAGAGACTAGTTTTTTCACACCGCCGCACGGCAGTCAGATGAGCGTTTGGGTGAGCTCCCTAGTCAGCACGAACGAAGTTATCAACCTGATGCTGGAGAAATACAAAGTCGAGAGCGAACCGCACAATTTCGCATTGTTTTTCGTTAGGGATAATGGAGGTAAGAATTTTCACCGCTAAGAGGTATACAGAATATGCAATGGATCTTTACATATGCGTCACCTATTGGTGCATCAGAAATAAGTTGGCAAAGTAATGAAGTCGAAAGCCCGAACAAACTAACCGCAAAATTTGAACATTCACGTTGTTTTTTGCCCCAACTGTATGATGACTCATGTAACGATTCATTGCCCCAAGTGTATTGGCTCGATACATGTTTTTTTAATTACAGAGCAACGGAGGTTGAAAGAGGATGAGTACCCTCTGCTGACTCGCGTCTTATTGGGGCCACACGAGGATGTCGTGAAGTTATACATAATGGATGGCCACAACACTCCCGAAGTCAGTAGCGAGGTGGCGCAATTTTTGAATCTATCTCTGGCCGAATGTCGGGCTATTCTAGGACAATATTATTCGCAGGAGGAGAGGGAAGTAGCTAGGATTAAAGAAAAGTAAGTTTTTGTTATCGGGGTTGATTTTCATTCGTTGATTGAGTATATCGGACTCAAATGCAACTGTAACTACTCAGTTGAATGTTGAATTTAATGAATTTGGTTATGGTTGAAGTGCAATCAAAATTTTTGACATATAGAGAGACATTGGACAGCAAGTGCAGCCAACACTATAAAAAGATGCATTTTTTTTTTCAAGTTTAATACGGCCTTCAATTGTGATAATTTTTGATTTTGTTCTGCCTTTGATTGCAAATAAAAAGTGGAAAGAGTTTTTTCAATTTTTCCAGTGATAATCCTTTTGCAATAGCTCCAAAAATGGAAATGGTTCAGGTTTTCAATCAGACTTTAATGTGGGTTGTTATGGTAAATCGAAATTAGCTAAAATGAACTTGTTATTAGGTTGTTCTAAGAGCTTTGCCCGTTTTATGAATCTACTTTAAACTGGTTTATCACATTATTGTTACTTTTCTCCGTGGGCTTGAAAATAATTGACTACAATGTACAATTAAACTCAACTTTATTTCACTGCTACACTGACGATACAACACAAACACTTCAACTAAAACTACAGACTATTACTCAAATGTCTATCCCCTCATTAGATAGCTTCGTACCGCACTGTCAACTAGACTTGCTCCATCTGCCTATTGATAGTGTTTATATACCGTAATGGAAGTCTCTGGAAACCGATGGGAATCTTCTCGAAGAGACGCGACATCCAGAATCATTAAGAAGCGTACCTCGAGTTGAGCCAAGTTGGCCAAGTCACAGAGTTATTTTGTTTCAGAGAATAAATTACCACATTATCAATGTTCAATATTTGAATATTTTCTGATCATCCGAAGTCAGTAGAGGCTCAGGCTTGTGAGTAAACGCTGTTTAATTTTTTCATTTCAGATATGAGGAGATGAGGAGAAGAATATCATACATGTTGAAGCGTGTCGAAGCTGCATCATGATAATCTGCAATAATTTTTTTAATTTGTTGAGTAGTTTTTATTTCTATTTAACATCACCAGAATCTGTTTAAGAAAGTTCATTTACTTACTCAACTTTTAATTGATTTTAATTGAAACGTACTTTTTGTCTTTTTATACTCTGTTATTTTTTATAAAATTTTTTAACGTTTGTGCTATACGTTGTTTTCAATCTCGTATGAGATACGAGGCAGTTCAATTTTACCGCGTTCATTCCTCAGATTTCAAACAGTATAATGATTTTTGAAAGTAATTAACATTGGCAATTGAATTGAATTGCTCTGGGAAGTGGACGTGGTCAATTTTATTGTACTAATGGAATTTTAGTACACTGAATTATGTCTGTTCTAGTTGTTTTAGAATTTGATTATTAAAGACTGTAATTTTTACTGATTGTGAGGGAACCTAAAAAACACAATAAAATACTAGAAGGCAAGTGAGTTTTATTTTTGGAATATTCTATAATTGACCTTGGTTAATTTTTCATCTTCCTCACATAAATTCTTCAATCCAATAATTTCAACAATATCCATGTTCAACGAGCTTTTAAAATGTTGTATCCTTGACAAATATGTCCTTGAACTTGAAAAAAAATGTTCAGTAACTTGTTTATCCAGATTTCGACTATTGAATAGCTATGCTGTAATGATAGTGCACCTACCGTTTTCATAATGAAATGTCTGTAAAATTCTGATGAATGAAAACAATTATTATAAGTTTTGAAATCAAGCTAAGTTCTCCTATTGGTTATATACTGGGCGGCAAAGAAATCTGGGTACATGATACCATTCAAATGTTTGTGAGGTTAGAACTTTGATATGTGGTCATTAATGCTGATGAATTCAACAATGAAACTATCGAATATATTTTGGGAATAATTTTGGGGGAGGGGGTAGATTTCAGGGGGAGGGGGATTTTTACATGAAAATATGCACTTGTACATACTACAATTTGAAATGTATTGAAGTTTTGAATGAAATTTTCATTGATGCTTACGGTTTGTTTGCTCATTTTTGAAAATAGCATAAAACTGATAAATACTGGTCCAATTTCGAAAAAACAGTGTTGGATAGAGAATTCAAAGACCTATCGTTTGACCCATTTGAAAAAAATGTTGATTGTGCTCTTCAAACAGCTAGTGATATCCGAATAATATTGTTTTTTTTTAAAGTACTGAAATGACGCATTTTCACTTGAACTTTATTTTTGTCCTGTTCGAAAGTCAAGAGGAAGCTGAGACTTTTCATGTCCACACATGTCCCTCAAAATATTTATTTAGTCATCAATTTCTATCTTTTCCCCAGCGTTTTTCCAGTTCTAGAAGCAGTTCTTGTATGTCCTTGAGCTCTCAGCAATCCAGTTTTTATCTCGTCAATCGTCGCAAAACTTCGTCCTTTCATGGGTCTTTCCAAAAGTTTGAACAGGAAAAAATCGCAGGGGTCAAATCTGGTCAATACGGTGGCTGAGGCATAAGTTGTTTAACTTTTTTCATAGCAAATACTGCACTATTTAGTGTATTGCAAATTGTATACATATGTATGTTCCACAGTAGCCTGCATACTGTGTATGTTCCACAGTAGCCTACACCTGTAAATTTACTGTGCAGCATGTCTAGATCGTTTTCTACATTGTAGGATATTCTGGATTCGAAAATGAGACTTTTGTTTAACGATGAGATTGGAACCTTTGGTGTGAAAGTTGAATAGCTTTTTTCGAGATCAACTTATCTCGAAAAAAGTTATTCGAGACTTTTGTTGTTGTTTTTTTCATTTGAGTATGAGATTGTTTGTCAAGAACCGGGTTTTTGCTTGTTCCATAACTTCCCCAAGGATTGTAGCCGAACACTCCCCTTTATTGATGCTGATACCAAATGTGGTGTCATCAGCATACATAATTGTCTCGATATTTGAGGTGAACATATTTGACAAATCGTTAATATAAATAATAAAGAAAAGAGGGCCCAATATTGATCCCTGAGGAACTCCTCTACTTATTGACTGAGGAGTGCTTCTCTGGTTTTCAATACAAACTACTTGACATCGATTGGACAAGTAGGATTTGATTAGTTTGAGGGCCACTCCTCTTATTCCGTAGTACTCCATTTTCCTCAGTAGTACGTCATGATCAACACAATCAAAAGCTGCACTTAGGTCTGTGAAGATTCCCAACAAATTTTCGTTTCTTTCAAAACTGTTTTTTATGGCACTAGTTAATGACTTGATACCATCCAAACTGGACATATTTTTCCTAAAACCATACTGCTGAGGACTCAGGATTTTGTTCTTATCGAATTGATTAACTGGTTGATTATAAAGAATAGTTTCAAATATTTTTGAAAAGCAAGGCAAGATTGATATTTGCCTGAAGTTTTGAGGTAGTTTTGGGGATTCTTTTCATAGATTGGGGAGATTCTTGCCAACTTGGGAAACATCCTTCATTTATGGGAAGTATTAATGATATTTTCAAGAACATCCAACGTTAAATGACCACACTTTTTAACAACATAGACACCTATTTCATATATATCCTCGGTCTTCTTGTTTTTCAACGTCTGTATCACGACTAGAAATCCGTTATTGTTACCTTGTATTGTTACTAAGCACTAGTATTCTATCATTTCCTAAACTTGATCCTAAAACGACTCTTACTCATTTCAAGACTATTTCATCCACCTAAAAGTTATCGACTTTCACATACATCACAGAGGAAACTCTCTTTCTGGAAACTCTTCGAACTATCCCCTTCTCACCTGACACGTGTGTACTTCTGAAAGCAAAGTCTGAATAGACGGGAATTCCCGAAAGGGAGTTGGTGGATATTGAATTCAATAGACAGCTTGCGAACCCTTTGATTATCTTGCGACCGTGCGAGACTGAAGTGGATGTAGAGAATTCAAAATGTACATTTTCCTCGCACGAGAGGGATAAATCGGTTTTGCTCCAGGACAGGGCGGTATTGGAATTGAAGGGTCTGTAGATCCTGTAAAATGAAAATTTGCTTTTATCAACCATTCACAGTTTAACTCGCAACTTATTCAAATTAGTCAATTCAAAAGTTTGTTCAAATCAGTTTCACGAATAGATTTTCTTTCGAACACAACTAGAATTTTTTAAATGGATTTTACATTCCTTCGAAAGAACAACCTTGACACGTTTCATAATTACCTACCTTCATTTCATAAATATATTTTCAACATTTTTCGTTTATCCGAACAAAATCATCATTTTCTTTCGTAATCATCCCTATTTCCACTAAAACCTACCTACATATTCAGTATGTTTGTAGTTTGGTATGAAAATAATCCTGTTACATCCCAAACCACAAACTGGTTGATGGACGTTCTACACGATTCTGAATTCGCTTTACCTCAGTTGGTTGTGAATTATTGAAATGACAGCAGAATATTCTATGAGCCAGAGGCCTATTTTGGTACTCAATTATTAAAATGATCGATTTCCGTTGCGTTACCTGTCCAAAACCTCTGATTGAAGTTCAACATTTTGCATCGAAAACAGACTGACTAACCGGCTCACTGACTCACCGACTGATTTTCCGATTGGCTGACCGATTGACTCACTGACTGTCTGACTAACCAACTATCTGACTGACTTACTGACTGACTCACCGACCGACCAACTCACTGACTCACTGACCGACTGACCCGATGACTTACAGACTCACTGACGGATTCTCTGACTCACCGGCTGACTCACCGACCGACACACTGACTGACTGACTCACCGACTGACTAAAAAAATAAAAAATTAAAAGTTTTGAAACCAAGTTATGTTTCAGGGTTATCAAATCAAGTTATATTATATTAGACAATGGAAGTCCGAACTGATGAAATGGCTCTAACTGACTCACCGACCGACTCACTGACTGACTCACTCACATGCTGAGTGACTCACTGACTACTGACTCATTGGTTCACCGGCTCACTGACCGACTGACCCACTGCCTCACTGACAGACTGACTCACTAACTGATCGACTAAGTGGCTGACTGACTCCCTCACTTATCGACTAACTGATTCACTCACTCACTGATTGGCTGACTGACTCACTCTCACTGACTGACTCGCTGACTCACCGACTGACACACTGACTGACTGACTAACCGACTGACTGGCTCTGACTGACTCACCGGCCGATTCATTAACTGACTAACTCACCGACCGACTCACTGATTGACTGACTCACTTATTGACTCACCGACTGACTGAATCAATGACTGACTCACTCATATGCTGACTGACTCGCTGACTGACCGACTCATTGGTTCACCGACTAATTGACTGACTTGACTCACCGACTCTGTGACACACTGACTGACTCGCCGACCGACTCAACGGCTCACTGACCGACTGACTCACCGACTGATTGACTAGCTGACTTGCTGACCAACTAACTTACTGACTGACTGGCTCACAAACTGATCGATTAACTGACTCACTCACTGATTGTCTTACTGACTCACTCTCTCACTGACTGACTGACTCATTGACTGGCTGGCTGACTGACTCAACAACAGCTTGACTCACTGACCGACTGATTCACTAACTGACTGATTGACTGGCAAGAGAATCGCACAGCCGCTTGCGCAGTGCGCATGGCCGTGGCGACTCGTCGCCACGGCATGCGTCGCCACGTCAGTAATCGGATTTACGTGCGTTTAAAGGTGTTCCACATAAAAAGTACTATCCTTTCGAATCTTTCAGATGCAGAACAAAATCTTTTAAGTGCTCAGAATGATGAAATGTTAATAATTCACTTCCTTTTATATTGAAATGTTACAAAATAATCTCCTCAATTGGGTGAAAGAAAACGCCTTTCGTAATATCCAACAAATGAGGTAGGTAATAACTCTGTAATTTGCCTTCAATATAAATTACCAACTGGAAGGGTTACTCACTCAATGTGTCGACTAAGGATGAACAAATTTTGTTTTTTTTTCATCCGAAACTGCGATTTTGACATGTTTTTTCTGTTCTTAATCTGTTCATTTTGGTCGTATTTTTTCCATAGGTTTGAAGCTGAAGTGTTTGAAAACAGCATTGTTACTACTTTATCTCAATTCAAGTTCCATATACAGGATGTCCCAGAATTTTTTTTGACAAAAGTGATATCTTCGTTATCAAAAAAATGAAAGAAAGACATTTGTGGTCATCTTCTTTATGAGTTTTCCTTCATGATGAAAAAGAGCCAGCCGCGTTGTTTTGATCAACAACAAAAATATAGTACTTCTCAATAGATTAGACACTTTTGAAATATAACTTTCTTTTTTCACAAATTCAATGGAAGAATATTCTTGTAGGTTTATGGCGAGAAATAAAATAACATCGTGTTTGCTTATTTCATTTTATTGTACATTTAATTTCACTTAGATTATATATCATAATATATTTACAGAAACGGTTTCTATTTATCTATTAATAGTAAATTTTTCCCTTAGAAATATTTAAATCTACTTCTTCTGAATGGGTTCGTGAACTACCAATTATTTAACATGAATTAAATGGTGAAAATTATGACAGGAGAAATGAAAATGTTTGTCAGTTTTATTTCTAGGATTAAAATGAACGCTGTGATGGATTACGTATATGGAGAGGTTAGAATCATTGACTATTTTGTCGAATAATAATAAATAGTAAGTATGTTTCCATATTATTGATAATAATACTAATAATGATATGGTAATACGTCCTCAGGTTACACCAGAGACGTGAAAAAATGTACTATAGCGTTGAATTTCCTTAACCTCAATAGTTTTATCTGCAGAATACTTAGTCATCAATTCTATGAACTCTTTCATTAGACAAAAATGAATTATAATTATTTTTTATGTAACTATATTTTTTCGATATCTATTTGCAGGATTTTTTAATCAATATTTTTCAGCATATGCAAAATATCAATAAGTTATTCGTTATGGAATTGAGTCATGTTTCGGAAGGGTTTTTTCTTCCAGTTTGATTTTTTGATTTTAATTCTTTGGGAAACCCCCAAATTTTTTATATAAAATTGGAGAAGTATCTCCAAGTATACCTCTTTCAATTCAAACAGAATATTCATTATTTTTTACACATGAACTCTTGATTGATTGTGTTATTCATCATTATGGATTATAGACTATGAAATTATTCATGAAATCAATGTAACTTTTTGGAATTTCTAACGGGTTTCGCAAGAGAATACACCGCAAGGTTTTGAATAGGTGATCACTTAATTATTTTATTCATTAAAATTCTTTATTGAATCAGTTATTTTGGTGGTTCTACATATAAACATGAAATTGCTACATCACAACAAAAATAATTACCTTGTGTATGAAGAGCAGGAATCTGTTAACAGGTTTTTGTGTACGTTGAATAACATTCTTGAATACGACAATTTCAGTTTTTAGCAATAACAGTATCTGCACTAAAAATTTCTTCAATTACTTTTTCAAATATTCTAGTAGTGTTCAATCTGAGACATACCATGTACCTACATTTTAATGGCATTTAAGTAATTGATGAGGAATTAGACACTGTGGTTTCATTTGAACTAGACAAGTTCATGTCAAGAAAATCATTCAAAACTTATGACATATTGAAGGCATCAAAATATCTCCATATATAAATTGAGGTGACCATTCTGGCATTTTTCTAGTGATGAAGATCAGGGGCGTATCGTGGAATAAATTGAGAATAACTTACAAATGATGAGAAACTTGTTGTCCCAACCTAGTTCCTGTAATGAGTCTGATGCATGCGTTTTGTAAGGTCTGTATCTCTTTTTATCAGATAAACGTAATGCTGGGCCATATACTATATCTGCATAGTTGGCGTGAGAGAGAACTAGGGAATCGCATAATATTTTCTTAGATGTTTGATTCAATGACTTCCTATTTGAGTATATCGATTTCAAATTACTATAGACATGAGAGTTGAAGAGATGAGTAGACATGAGAGTTGAAGTTACGGGATTGGTTAATTATGAGACCAAGATTTTTCGTAGATTCTGTCAAAGGCAACTGATGCTCGTCTAGAACGATATCGATATTTTTCTCACATCTTTTCCTCATTGCTGTTCGACCAAATAGCACTACTACTGTTTTGGAGGGATTGATTCTCAGGCAGTACTTCTTTGAGGTTGTCAGTAAGGATTTTGAATCTGTTTTTATTTGCTCGTTTATATATTTGGGTGTCATTAGCGTAGCTATGAATTTCGGTGTGATGGAGACACTTTGGAAATTGGGATGTGTAGATTACGAAAAGCATAGGACCGAGAATTGAACCTTGAGGTACACCTGCAGAGATATTCAAGAAACTTGACATAGTTTTATCCAAAGTTACGCACTGAGACCTTCAATTTAAATTGTTATTAATCAGTGTAGAAGAAGAGTATGAGAAACCCATGTAGTTTCCTTATCAGTCCCCTTAGAGTTCCCTTATCAGAACAAACACACTGCCTCTCGATGCGCGTTTCGCCAACGAAGTCAACATCATCAGCTTTGGTCCTTCCACACAAAGGCGATAATTTTCTGGGAATCGATCTGGTTTCCTTGAAAAAATCTTTGAAAATCAGTTTTTTCCTGTGTCTTGAAGATTTTGGACGCTTTTCGATCGAAGAAAGCTGGCCAATGGAAATACCCTCTTTAGAACAGTAGAAAAATATCTTCTGTGGGTAATTCAACAGAAATGACTATTATTTGTAGGTCATCACGATATTTTCCAGAGATTTTGTTATCCTCCACTGAATATTTATCAAAGCCGGTATTCACGAATTATTTGGAAAGTCAAACATCGTGATTAAATAAAAAGCATTTCGAAAGCATGAAAATCATTCCATTATCACGCAGCGATAATAGCATTCCAATATTGGAAATTCTCTCGATTTGGAGCGAATTCCGTTCAAATGAGCTTCCCTAGTTTCGGCAATAAATTACATTCACTCGGTTATCAATAATAAATTACGTGTGCCGTTTAGCAATTATTTGTCCAAACGAATAAAGCGTGAAATGCAAGCCAGATACAGAATTGTAATGTTTTGATGACGCATTTGCAAATTTTAAATGAATCCAGTAGGCTCTGCTGCAGTTTGCGAAGCCAGATTTACGTCTTTTTAATACTAAGCGTTTCAAATTTAATCTGGAAAGTTTATGAGAGCGGATTGGCATGGATTCGAGCTGAAAGTAGTTAACGGTTGGAATGGATTTGTAAAAATAAATTGGAAACTGTTTCGAGGCCATATTTGAACCATTTCAATTTATTTTTCGATCAAAGTCTAGCTGAAATATGCAACTTTTTCATTCATTCTGGAAAGCTAATCCATTTTTGCGAACAAATCCGTATGCACATTGGATTACAAAAGCTATCAGACCCCGAACCCATTGTGAATTTTTCATGGTGTCAGTTGAGAGTTCTTACAGGTGAAACTCTTTTTCTCTGCCTCCGAAAAATATGAACGAGATGCCATTCGATTTGGAATGACACGTACATGATTTTTGAGAAAAATCAAGTGCCATTTGCAGAAATTGCAACAATTAAGTGAAATGGCTCAAAAACTATTTGATATGTTCCAAATTTAGAAAAAGATTCAAAAAGAGGAGGAAACTTACCAAAAAAATCCTTCTTCTCGCAACTATACGACCAATACTTATAATTTTGCCAGAGGGTTGAAAATTCGTCCTAAAACTAGTACGCACCTGCGTTTATAAGTTATAAATACAAACATAAAAAACCAGTGATGAAGTAAAGGAGGACATAATTTTCTAAATTCGATATAAAATATAAAAAAAAAACATTTTTAATGATTAATCAAACTTTATAATTTATTACATAAGTAAATTGTTGATAACTAATTGCATTTGTATTTGTTCTTATCTGTTTTTATCTTTCAACTTGAGCCTCTAAATTCATTTGTATGCATAATATGTATATACTAGACCATGTCAATATCTTCTTGGAACTAATGACAGTAAACATTATTATTATTACCTATTATCGAAAGGTCAATTTCATAAAAGGTCAACTGTAATATTATCATATATGATTGTTTTCCCGAAACCAATTTCCTGACAATAAAGAAAACCTCTCCGGGAAACATATTTGTTGATATATGTTCTTTGTGTTCAGACGAAAACAAGAAAGTTATGAATAAATAACGAGTTTCAGACTGTTATGAAGTTTTGACGTACAACAAGATAACTTTTTCATATTGAAGTTTAATTTGGAAAGTTTCCTACTAGGTTGCCGATGAGCAGAACAGTAAAGAATAGAATTTTGTAGTATTATCTCGACGAGTTGAGAAAAGTCAGTTTCTCAGTGGTTTATTACAGGGAAATTATAACTCCAATAGACTGATTCCCACTTATGAAAAATTTATTTAGTCATTAAGTGGACAAATTCGACTCACACATAACAGGACCTTTTCCTAAAAGTAGCTCCCTCAGTACTCGTGCTATTTTCCAGTTTCTACTAGAATATACCCATAAAAAGATTTAAATTTTTCGTACAGAAAATCCACAAAATGATTTCAAACTGATTAAAATTGGAGACGTTGAAATTTGGATTGAAGTCTCTATTTATTTATTATTTCATCCCAAACAATAGTGAAAATAATGATAACCTAATGATAATGATATTTTTTCTTGGTATTGCACGGCGTGGAATGATTTGATTATATAAAATCGTGAATCTAGAAAATTTTCAGTGCATAAATAATAATATGTAGAAGGAGATATGCTCTAAATGAAGTTTCCGGTGTAGTTTGCGAAATTTCAAATGATTTTGTGAACCAACTTCCATTCTTACAGCCACCTCGTTCAACAGACCTATGTATGGTGTATTTCTTATTATGAGATGAGGAGAAGGTGTCATCACCTGATGACGCTAACTTGGCTAGCGAAACGCGCGTCAAGACACAGCTGCAGAATGTATTTTGGATAGAAAAATAAGTTTTGTTACGCAATTAAAGTTTTTTATCTTTTATTTTAAGATGATGACTTGTTTAACATAGATATCTACATCGTCACGTGACTTTCTACGATAAAATGAAATCGGGAATGGTTAATTGTAGAGATTTCTACTTTATCGACAAAGAGTTTCATCTAAGATTTTGGGTGCATCCCTTTGTTGCCGCCCCTGCAAGGGTAAACAAGTTGTAAACGCCTAAAGAAGTAGATCTTTCTGAACATTTGTATTTGCCAAAATTTCGTTTTTTTCCATGTTCACCAACTTCGGAGGTGTTAGTCTGTAGATGCCATTCTCGGAGAGACACCCTGTATAGTCGACGCGAACTGAATCTGGGATTTGAACAATGCTATGGAATAACAAAATCATCCCTGAATTTTTCTTTTGAGAAGTTGATTCTTGCAAGGGTTGAACAAACATTTTCCAACAATTTTCATTACATTCGCCTTTGACCTCACTTTTATCCCCGATACGCCACTGTATACACATGAATCTGAAACGGGATCTAAGCACTCAGTAAAGTTTATGGAAGTCTTTGGAAACGGATAATTCGAACTATTCCCTTACGAAAACAAACTCATTATAGTGGTTCCAACGGTTTTCCTCTGCATCGACTCCGGGTTTCAGTTCCGCCGCCCCTCCCGCTGTTCCGGAGCCGCAGCTGCCCGCCATTTTGAATCCCTGCTCGATCAGCATGTCGAAGGCTTGCTCCAGGAAGAAGTGTTTCAGAAAAAATCTGCAAACAAATGGGGAATTTAGCCTCTTACTCGCAATATTTTTTATCATAACAGATATCATAGCAGATAGTTCGAGGGTACTGAAATCAACACTCCACAACATTCTGGGCTTAGCTAACATGACTATCAAAGGATCAAAGAATCGTGGAAGGTATGTAGATGTGAATTGGACAGCAATCATTGAATTAAGTCTACCAGAACCAACTAGGAAGAAGACATCAACACCCACAGGAGATCTTAACAAATCTTTATTTTCCGTTGGCAGTTACATGTATGGGGGTTGCCAAACCTAATCCTAAGGGTAACTGAAATCACTAAAAAGAAAATAAAATGTAAGTAGCTTGCCACAGTAAGGGTAGGGTATGTTATGACCGATCTGTTTGGTATATCCACAATCTCAAGAAGAGCAAATTGAAATATAGACCTTCATTCATGTATTGAAGGACACCAAATTGAAGTATAGACCTTCATTGATGAGTTAAAGGACACCAAGATACATTGAGACCTTTCGCTAGGTCTAGATAACCTGTGTTAATAGCTGTTCTGAAGTTTGAAGCAGCGGAAAATGGTTCAAAGGGATAGAAAGCGAAGCTGAGGGGTGACCTTCAGCAGTCGAAAAGCACCAAGAGATCGCCAGTAAATTAGGCTCAACATTTGAGGAATAAGGACGATCTGGGAAGAACGTTGTTATAGTTGTGAAAAACTTGAACACTTATGAATAGATTATGAAAAGCAATAGAGATTAAGGGGTCCAAAAATATTGAAACTACATAAGAATCATGAAGAACGGCGATAAATGTGTCACAAACATTTGAGAGGGAGCTAACGAATCTCAACAAGGAAAAACATCTACCCAACACCAGAAAGATGGCACAGGTCACGAAAAATTACCCGCTGGAACTTTGCAAAGCTGTGGAAGTAGTAATCAACTGCGAGGGAAAGGATAGAAATGAGAGAACCAAAAGAAATGGATCCGAAAACAGTGGAAATGATGCCGAGAAAATCCGTACAACTCACAATAGAGGAAGAGCGAGAAGTGAATGTATTTTTGAAAGATCATCATAATTTCTTGCTACGGGTAAATCTATTAGGTAATCAATCGGGGAGGATTCAATAAACACCGGCAATAAACACCAGTTGAACAGGCTCCAAAACTGCTTCTATTCGTGAAGCAAATAAAATGAGGAACATGATCGACAATATGCTTGATGGAGGTGTCAGGGAAGAGTCAGCAAGTCTATGCTCACCTACATTGCTATTAATGAGGAAGAATGATGGATCGATACGCTTCTGCGTACCATCAGCAGCTAAAAAATGTCAAAAAGAAAGAGTTTATAATACCCCCACTACCCCTTCCTGTTAAAATTTCACTGTTTGCTTGGGTAGTGTTATTATAGTCTCATTCTAGAGGTAAAAATTAATTATTAACTCACCTGGAAGTGTACCGTTCTGACTGACCATGATCTGGATCCCGACTTTCGTTGAGAGTTTCTCCAAAAACGCTTCGGCAGAGGTCGACTTTTCCGGATATCAGAATTCTGGAACGAAAACACCGTGATTTAACTACTCAAGATATTCCACGGAGCAATATTTATTTTATCAAGCGCCAATTTGTTTGTTTCAAATGTGAAATAACCACTTCGAACTTTTCATTAATAGATAATGAATCAAGTACTTTGTGTGTCTTGAAATATTAAACACATTGATGTAGGTTTAGCACACGTATTTTGGATTATGTTCAGAGGCTGAATACGAGGTTTAATATTAATGGATGGAAAAAAACGCAACTGAAAAAATTGACAGATTCTTCCTAATTTTTTTAAGAAAAAAACATAAGCGCTCTTATAGCGGTGCCTGTGCCTAGGCAATAAATTTCCAAAAAGTTTCTACTTCCAGATGTCCAGATGTCAGTCTATTTCTATTGAATTGAAGGTACCAAACACAAATGTGATGTAAAAACACCTAAATTAGATACAATTTTTTTGTAATCTGAAAGCGTTTTGTTTTTGTTGGTAATATACAAAGCAAGGAAGGTCAGCATGGAAAATTGGAAATCTGTAAGAGATATGAGGTCGGTTGAATTAGGAAAAAGTCCAAATGACGTTTTGAAACTTAGAAAATTTCGATTAAGTGTGGTACATCCTCTAGTCTCGTCTCAAGAACGTTTTAGAATGGTCCAGAGTATTCGAAACTATTCAAAGTATTCCACAGCTTTCCAGAACATCCCGAAATATTCCAGAACATTGTGGAAGGTTTGAGGATAATCTAAATCGTTCAAAAAAATCCTTTTGAGGTCTCAGAACAGGAAAAAGTCGCTGGGGGCCAGATCTGGGGAATACAGTGGATTCGGAGGCATTCAGAAGCCCAATTCACGCAACTTTGCCATCGTTTTCATTGAATTGTGATACGGTTCATTATCTTGATGGCACAGTACCTCAGTACCACACAGTACCACAGTACCTTCCAGTATCTCATAATTTACAACTACCGCAAAATCTCGTCAACCGTGCAAACGGTTAATGATCCGTTACAGATATTTTTCTTGTGAATTTAGGCGTACTTTTAAAATAATTTTTTGAATTAGGAGCGATCAAAAAACCCAACTCACATTTCATCCAATGACAAAAAATATATGGCAGTTTTCAAATTGATTGTTTTTTTAGAGAACCTTGTAAAATCGCATCTTACAGAGGATATAAGTTCAACTCCATATTTATAGTATAAAAAGACGTCTAAATATCTGACGATATTTACAGATACATGCGATCAGCAGAATAATTAAGAAACTTCTTCTAGAAAAGTCCCTTTGCCAGTTATCCTCCAACATTTACGAGCTTCTTTCTCATTTCGTCGTTAGATCTTAACACCCCTTCAGTAATTCACAACAAAAGAATTCGTCTCTATTGCGTCGGGCTTTTATTCGGGAATGAAAGGAAGTTTCTCCTCGAATCCCATCCCTTTCGAGGCCAGACCAAACAACAAAAAATACGTTCGGGCAGATCTGGGTCAAAGTTCACAATAAGTGCGTGTTGAGAAGAACAAACCCCCATTATCACGGCTTGAGTATTTTCGCTGTACTTACGTAATTTGGGAGTTCGAAAGAAAACTTTTCGGGATTCTGTCTCGTTTGTGATGAGAGTTTTCGAGTGGTCTAAGGCCTGATTGTTGGAGTGGAGGACAACTTTTGTCTTTGAGTAAAATGGATCTGCAAACCGTCAGCATGACTGATTCGCTTTTGATTATGTCGGAAGAGAGGAGGTTTAAAAATGCAGATGGAGATGAACTGAATACGGTTGGAAAACAAACAGACAAATCAATATCATTTCATCAGTTCGGACTTCCATTGTCTAATATAATATACATTTTTACTTTTCAATTTTTGTTAATAATAATTTTTAATTTTTGTTTTTCAGTTTTTATTAATATTTCAATTTCAATTTGTTTGGTTGTTGCTTGTATGTTAATTCTTTGTAATTTCAGTTTTTTGTTTAATAAAATTGTTATTTTCGGTTAATCTTTTTAATTTTTTTTAGTGTTTTCAAATCAATTTCTATTATATTAGACAATGGAAGTCCGAACTGATGAAATACACCACGAAACATTGTCAACCACCTTTAAACAAATCAATGTCAGTTGATATGAGAGTGAATGATATGAACTTGAGAAAGTACAGAAAACAAACTCAAAGTAATGGAAAAAAAGTTGAGTCATTTCAATAATTGAAAATTGTATTAGAAAATAAATAAAGTTTAAGGAATATAGAAATTTGATATTGAAATGTTAAGTTTCGGGTAGTTTTACTGGTTCAAAAAACTCTCGTTGGCTTTCGACAGTCCAGAAAATTCTAGAGTATTTGAAACAATTCTCTAACTTCCCAGAACATCCCAAGATACTCTGAAATGTTATGGAATATTCAGAAATAGTCTAGATTCTTGAACAATTGGGAAAGTCCCCTTTACTTTCCAGATCATTGTGGAACGAGCAAGAATGTGTGGTAGGTATCTATCCCACATTTTTGAAGAACATTCCCGTTGTATTTCATCAGTTCGAACTTTCATTGTCTAATATAATATAAATTGATTTGAAATCCCTGAAAAAAATAAAAATATTAACCAAAACGAGACTCGGGGCTTCTTGTGGGCTTCTTCAATGGCAAGAGTTTCAAACCACTCCATATATATATTAGCTTTAATCGGTGAAAGTGGCGATCCCATTGGCAGTCCGTCATCTTGCGTAAAAAATTCGTCCTTCAGCTTTGAAAATATAAAGGCTGGAAGTCCAGACATTCAAAAGTGTGGAAATCAAGGGAATTATATGTTGTGGTAGCTTTCCATTTCATGAAGGTTAGGTTACGTTACGTTAACAGATACCATCTGTTAAGTCTTCCTATCGAGGAGAGTCTCTTTTGGCAATTTGCTACCAATTTAGCGAGAGTTGGCGAGAGTTCTAAGGAATATGGTGGCTGAGGCCCAATTCGTTCAATTTTCGGATGGTGATTCATGAAACACGCGGACTAGCGGTATTGGAGCAGGATCTAACCTCTTTTGTTGACTGATACCAGCTGCTGCTGACGCAATTCTCGGTATATTTCATTGATTTTTTCACAATAGGACTCTGCAGTGAAAGTTTGGCCTGGTTGCAGAAAGTTATAATGAATCACATCAACAGCTGATCGCGTAATCTTTTTGGTGTGTTTTCCCCTATGGGAAGTGCTTGGGTGGCTGATCGGCGGCCTGTTGTATTATCAACGTTGATTATGAATGAAATGGGTTTTATTTTCTTCTGGAGATAACTGTGCTCATTACTTCGGTGGTATTCACTCTTTGCTGTATTGTCTCTTCGTAGAGTATTCAGAATCACAGTTACTCATGAATGCTTGAGAAGTTGCTTTTGATGAATACTCATTAACCCCAAAATTTTTATACTCCGTTGAATTTTTATCACTGTTTCATTATCTACTGTCAATCAATTGATTTGTTTCGTTCCCTGAATTTGTTCTGGACTTCCTCTTTACCTCTAGACCTCCGTCAGTTTTCATGTGGACGATTTGATTCTATTGTAGCCCTGAGCATTCATTCTCATACCAAAAAAGTCTTTAGCCATCTTGTTGTTCACTTTTTCAGTTTTTGTTTTGCATCATCTACTTATTCTTTATCTGTTCATTATCTGGTTGTAGAGATAACTCTTCTCGTTGATTTTTCATTTTGTTCTTCTTCCTTATCGTTGTCTTGGTCTTGTTTTTGTTTCACTTTTGGTTGTAGCTGTGAGTTATTTAATGTTTGAAAAGAGAAATGAAAATTTATATGTTTTTTACCACTTTCAATTGCAACTAACGTTACTGCAGTTACAATAAAAATTTATTGAATAAGTTTGAGAATGTCCATATAGGACGAAACTGCAGTAACGAAAATTTCTATGTTCTTACCACTTTTTGGTAAAATAAATTCCACTGGGTGAAACATAATTCGAGAAATGGCACCAGAAATTCTGATGTAAACAGACAACATTTCATCTGAATCAGTGAAAATCTTGAACTAATATCATTTTTTTTTATTCAAATAATGAGCAGGTATATCTGCTTTTCCACACGATCACCACTTCACGGTTTAAAGTGCGTGCTTTATTAGCACCCTGTCAGAGGACGACGTTGCCCTTATCCGCCGTTAAATCAGCATTTACCGCAAAATAAATTAGCCAGTTTGAAAGCCTGGAATAATCATATGAATTTAATCTGTTAAAACACACTTTACAGCATATTGAAAGGAGGTACTTTCCTGCATTGCAGTCACGCCAACATAAAACTAAATGAAAGCGATTTCATCGAGTTGTTTTACCTCGAATTATCGAAAAACTCATATTAATACAATAACTTTAATAATGATAGTAGTGGTTCTGCACAACTAATTCCTAATAAAAAATTCATGATAATTTGAATAATTTTTTTCTATAGTTGTATGGATTTTGTCAGCAAGAATGAAGACAATATTATAATCTAGTTGGTTTGTGATGAGAATAATAACGATATTACTAACGATGATGATACTTTTCATTTCTGCTGAAAGAGTTCAAAGTGCAAATTTGGAATTACAGCATTTGTATATGTACATGTAAATTTTGTCACATAGCTGAAGAAATTAACGCCGGCCGCCACTGGTAGCCATAAACCAATTGTGACGTGGCTAAGAGATCGCCCAGTCTAACCGACTTTTCGCGAATGTTCGATATTCGCTGCCGTTGTAAATGTTGCAAGAATAAAGCAACCGGCTTCCATGGAATTCCGATGAATTTTTTACCGCCTTCGATTGCCAAATACAAACGCGATCCACTCGCCTATCGGGACAGCCCAGTTTCGGGGACAGTGTCGTACGGAATGAACTTATGAGGCAATAGACATTTAAATAATAGTTGGGGTTTTAGTTGAACTGTTTTGTTATAATAATAGTGAAATAAAGATGAGTTTGATTATTGTTCAGTGTAGTCTATTATTGCTATACTCATGGGGAAAATTTAACAATATTTTGCAATGCGCATTAAATAA